CCGAGCTTCTTCCTCCTTGGACGCAGTAGCCTCTTCCTCAGATTGTTTTAGCAAATTTACCAACCTATTAATTTCTTTTTGTAGAGAAGAGTTTTCTTCATCCGACTTCTTTACACAATCTACTAAATGCAGTTCTTTTTGTTCCCACTCGGTTATGGAATTCTGATGTTCGTTCTTGGATTGTTCAATGGTATTTGTAAGAAGATCAATCTCGTTTTTTGCATCATCGAGCATGGTTTTGTACTTCTCATCTGTTTCTTTCAGGAATAACCTTAGCTCATCTAACTGGGTCTCGTACTTTTCATTGTTGGTTTCACAGGATAAGAGCTTCTCCTTAGCATCCCTAGCTTCTGCAGAAACTTCATGCAAGGCTGAAGCTAAGCTTTCCATTGCTTTCTTGCTCTTCTCTTCCTCATCCTTAGAATTTTCCAACTCATTAAAGAGTTTGCTTTTCTCTTCTAAAAGAGTTTGAACACGGGAAACTGCAAGCTTCTCATTATCTAAAGCTCGGGTCTTTTCTTCTTTCACAGTTTCTAATTCGGACTTTAGAGACTCAACCAACTTCCTCGCTTCTGCACTTTCTTCCTTAGCCGTATTAATCTGGTGTTCTGATTTCTCAAGATCCCTTCTTTGTGTACTGATCGTCATTTCGAATGATCTCACTTTCTCTTTAAGAGAAGCAATTTCAGATTCTGCGTCTTGCAATGAATCATTGGTGCTTTCTAATTGCTTCATGACTGCATTTAGAGATTCCGATGTAGATCTTTCTAACTTCTTTGCTTCCCCAATCTGCATTTCTAATTTTTCAACCTTGTTTCCCCATTCATCTACTACATTGCGTGTATACGATTCAGCCATTTTCGCAGCCTCTAGATCAACATTAAGTTGTTCAACAAATGCCTCGTTTTCCACCAACTTCTCCTCATAGGCCTTTGCTTTCTCTACTTCTTGTTTCAATGATTCTATCTCTTCCCTGAGCTTCAACACCATTTCATTGTTTTCACTAATCTCTCGTTCACGCTTCAACTCAAGCAAAGACTTCAACCGAACCAATTCGGCCGAGAGAATTTCCGCCTTCTCGGCATGAATTTCAGCAATCTTGGTTGCATCATCAGCATGATTTAATGCTTGGTTTTTCGTATCACAAGTCATGGCTAGTTCTTGCTTCACCCGTTGAAGCTCCTGAGTGGTTGAGACGAGAGCAGCCACATCCAGAGCATGCTGGTTCCTAACGGATTCGATTTCTATCTTCCATTCTTCATCTTTCTTCTGAGCAGCATCCATCTCCACCTGTTCCAACTCTAAAGTTCGGAACTTTTCAATCTCAGAGTTCTCTTCAGCTAGCTTTTGTGCGGCCAAAGCCTCTCTAAGCTTGTCATTTGCTTCTTCAGCTGCTTTCTGTGCTTCTTTCAGTTCATCAATTGCTTGTGCCTTCTCTTTCTCGATCAATGATATTTTCTCGTTTGCTTTCTTTAAATCCTCCTGAACCGAGTTCAACTGTGCTTGCAACTCTAATCCCTTACCCACACGTGTTTGCGGTTTCTGAAAACCAAAACCAACCGATAACGCAAATGGAAATCCATTAGCTTCGTAATTAAAACAGTAGTTTATTTGTTTCTCTTTCCTAAAACCGGTTTTCTCCTCACCAAACGTCAAAACATACACACAATGATTCATAACAGATAGCACATTTTCTTTTCACAATATTACTTGAAATACAACTCGTTATCCGGAAAAATCAACAAAAATCAACACAGCTTCAGAATCCTCATAACCAAATCCCATATCAACAAATCCAAAAGAACTTACATCTAACCGGAAAAATGTAAGATCAAATACCGAACTATATGACAACATTGACTTAAAAACTTACTTCAGGTGGCGTGGCAACCTTTGGTGATCTACGAACAACTGTAGGCGTCGAGTTAAGAGATAGTCTTTGCGACCGATCAGCTGAATTACAAGCACTTTGCAATGGGGAGGGTGAACCAGGTTCCGGTTTAGCCAGTCCCCGGCTTACTTTACTTGCCACTCTAGGTGTAGCTGGTGAAACCTTGGTTGGAGTATCAGATGAACTTGATCTGTAGAGATAATGTTCAAAGGCTCATAGTTTAAACACAAAATAGCAAAGAATATAAACAAAATTCATGAGCAAATCAAATTAAAGATGGATTTCATCTCAAAAATGGCAACTTTTTTTCTACATAATTTGGCAGGATAAAATTATTATATCAAATTAAATACTCGAAATCTGAGTAAAACCCATTTGAAAAAGAGAATCAAAGAACAAGATCGACTAAAAATTTATGAATTTGAGTGAAAAAGGGGTCTTTAAATATCAAATTACAAGAATCACAGGAATAAAAGAAACACCCAAAATTTCGAATACTCAAAATTCTAGTAAAACCCATTTGAAAAATAGAATCAACCAACAAAATTACTAAAAAAAACTATGAATTTGAGTGGGGAAAAAGGTCCTTAGCATGAGCCTAAAAGCATCAAGGAGCAAATCAAACAAAATTCCAGAATTTACTACAGAGAAAAGCATCACATGAACTAAAAAATAAGCAGTCCAAAGAAAGTAAAGAAAACCCAAGTCAGATCTAAGTCCAAAATAAAAGGAATTGAGGAACAAAGCATGAAGTTCATAAAGAGAAAAGAGAACCCAGAAAGAGAGTGAGGTGAACGTACTTGGATTTAGCAGACATGGTGAGAATGAGAGGAAGAGATCGATGGAGAAGTAGCTTTTTTTTCTTCTTTAACAAGCAAAAGAGACAGTGAACTTAGAGAAAAACTACCTACGAATGATTTACATTTTATATATAACGTTCAAATATAACAGATGATTTTTTTTTTTTTTTTTGAGCTATCAACTACCAAGATGAGAGAGATAATCGCTATTTTTTTAATATACAATCTATTATTTTGGGTAAATCATATGTTTAGTACATAAACTATGTATTTAATTCGTAATTTACCCTAATAATTAAAGATGTGAACTACTATTACTACTATCGATGGAAAAAATAAAAAAGATAAATATCTAGTTATATCAATTTAACAAGATTTACAGTTTACGATAATTGTTCAAACATATCTTAATTGTGTAATTACATCTCAAGTCAATTTTATAATAGGTGTCCAAGCACACTCACTAAGTGAAAATGAAAATTATTCTTTTATTATTTCAATATTATATTTACTAAAAACATACACACAAATACTTTGTAAACAAGATTAAATAACGTAAAATAAAAGAAGTTTTTTAATAGTAAATAACAGAAGTTAAATGAAAAAAAGGTAAAACGTTATTTTTCTTAAATTATTGATATATTTTTACATGTGTATATGATTTAGGTAGTTCAATTTTTGTTTAAATTTTAGGGTAAAGTACACAAATGATCCCCTAACTATGGGACATTACTTTGTTGAGTTTCATGATTATTAAAAGTTATGAAATGATCCCTTAATTGTAGGACATTGTTTTGTTGAGTCCCTCCTATTTAAAGTTATAAAATGACTATTCGTATATTCCAAACTAGTCATTTTCTATTAAAAAATTGGTGATAATCTAAGTTGGACGTTAACATGTCAATAGTGATATGATAAAATCTTATCCAAAAATCTCAAACGACTATCATATCTCAGTCAACATGTTAATATCAGCTTAGATTGTCATCAGTTTTAACGAAAGAAGAGTTTGGAACATATGAATAATCAAGTAATCATTTTATAACTTTTAATAGTCTAAGGATTCAACAAAACAATACTCTATAATTGAGAAACTATTTTATATTTTTAATAGCTAAAAAACTTAATAAAATAATACTCTATAATCAAGGGAACATTTGTTTACTTCACCCTAATTTCATTAAATTAAGAGCAACACCAATTAAATAAAAAATTTATACATAGTATGCTCGTTTATTTGGATTGATCACATGTTGTACAATTATATTAATATAATATAGGTAGAAGTGATAAATACAAATTCGATTAGATCATTTTGAATTAATTTAAGAGTTAGAATCCACTTACACGGTGTAAAACTCGTTTAGCTTTACACTTTTTAGAACTATTGAATTGAGGGAAATCAAAGGCTAAAATTAATTTCTTATTTTTCGGTGAATATATTCTCATTTTCTATTGTTATTATCAGCCTTTAATTTATCTCATCCAATTATCTTAAAAAGGTTTAAAACTAAAAGAGTTTTACATCGTCCAATAGTCTTAAAAAGATGTAAAACTAATAGTCTTGATTTAATATATATATACATGAATTAGTCGTTGTTTTCAAAAATAATATTTGTTTTTTTAATTAATTTGATACTTAAAAAATTTCATTTATGCAAATTTGAAACTTTTATTTTGATTTAAGGGTCACATTTGGGTCACATTTGTCTATGTATTAGACTTAATTTATTATTTTCGCATTTATCGTATTTTCACCTTAATTTAGCTATTAAAGTTGTTTAATCACACCACTCTATACCCCACTCTTAACTTAAAACCCTAAATTATAAACTCAAAAATAGATTTAAAGTTTAGAAGTTATAGGGTTATGGTTTAGGTCTTATAATTTAGAGTTTTAAGGCTAAGTTATAGAATGATACAATTTAACAACTTCGAGAGTTAAATTGATGCGAAAATATAATAGGGAAAAAATGATAAATTAGATCTACTACAATGCCTTTTGCCTTTCTTTGAACAAATTTTGTACCTATATTCATCAAATATTACCTATTTGATACTTGTACTTAAAATGTAAATATTATTTTCAATTTGAAATCGAATCCAACACTTACAATCCCGATTTAAGGATGAAAGCAGGGTTTTATATTAGAGGTGCAATATCCTGAAAGGTACGAAATTAAATCATTGATAAAAAAAAGAAATAAAAAGATAAGTAGGTGCAATATCACGACACCCCTTGATTCATCCCTGTCTCTATCTATTGTCCCAAGCTAGGGACTACGTCATAACAAATAATGACACAAAGCTTTGCCACAAGCTCTAATTACACTAATTGTTTCAATAAGCAACAAAATTAAAATATAGTATCAGATCTGCATAGTTCCATATGAATTTTTCAAACAACTAATGGTAGAACCTACCTGCTTCAATCACTGAAACTCGACCATAATGACTCGGCAGTAACAAACATGAGACCCTCACATGGTAGCTTCTACTTCGGGGTCGGCCTCTGCTGGAACAGTAGGTGTGTTATTCCTGCCTCGCAATCGCGAGGACACATTGTCGATGGCCACGTTGAGTTGGCTGATTTTTTCATTCAGGGTCTCCCTGGTTTTCTGCTTTTGATAAAATAAGAAAGGTTTCGAATTTAATATAAAGAGTGTAGGGAAACACTGAAGAACATAATAGCGAATAGAAGTAGAGCCTAATTACCTCTAAACCTTCTTCATAGTATATCGGTCGCTTTGCCTTACGGAATCCGTATTCATCTTCGTTTAGCAGGGATCTTCTAATCTGAATCAAAACAATAAACGAGAGGAGGATTTAACCTGATGACGATGATTTCAAATAAAGAAAGCAAAAAAGGCGACGGTTCACCGAACAGAAAGAACAGCAGATATATGGCTTCGACTCTTCATTTTTATTTTTAAGCATCCATATTTGGCTTGTATCCGAACATAGATATAGTATACAAACTTGCAAAAGTTCTCAAAATACATGTGAGGACTTTCTAAAAACTGAATATATTAATTCTGACGTTACCTGTATACAACATCGCATCCAAGTCCGGGTAACATAGTAGTAGTAATGCAATTAAAGCTCTATGATAAGACAAGAAAGCATGAAACAGTACTATAATATGATTTAGTTAAAAGCAGATGAACTAAGTTGATTTTTCTAAGATTACCTTTAAATAATAATAGAACATGATAGTTAACTCTTTCAACAAGAACACAAATGCACTACTACAAGGGAACTTTCAGTCGACTTCAGGTCATTAATTAGATATATTTTCTGGAAATTTAGAAACTGAAAGCAGCTATTAATCACCTGTGGTGCGAAAATATATCCCAAAGTTCCAAATATGGCACCTCCTAGAAGAAAACCAGCAACGAAATCACTTCCTCCACCCCTGCTGTCACCACTGCATGTATCGGGGTTAACAACAAATGATGAGAAGAAATTAGAAGCATTACTAATGGATGGGGCAGGAACAACATATGCAATTCGCAAAATCCTACTCGAAATAAATCTAAGCATAACACAACATCCAAAGCAATAAATAATCAGCTTTTCCTTTTTTCCCTTCTTGTTATGAGCAAAGAATCAGCTTAAGAGCTCAGGAGAAAGAAAGAAAAACACATGGAAAGTGAAAAACAAAGAGGAATTCAGATGGCTCTATGCTTTAAATCCTTTTAGTGTTGAGCATGGGGAGAGTAGGGTAAGGTTGTTCAGCATCAAAGAGAATTTATTACAGAGAAATCATCTTATCAACAGCTTTAAACATCACTAACTATTAGTAGTAACAAGGGTCTGATAAGATATTTTTTGCTGGAAATGTTTCTATTCACATCACTCTTCACAATGAAAATCAACAATGAAACCAAAGAAACTCTACTGACAGGATTTACTGAACCTGAGACTCTTGGATATTGATATTGTGACTTATATTTTAATGTTTTTGACAATCAAATTTCAGATTTGTTTTCCCTATATTTGTCTCAAAATTGTGAAACTTCCAGGGGGATTCTATTTCGCAGATTTATGGTTTAGCAAATCCGTATCAAGGAGGCTTAGTATGACAAGGGATTTGGCATGTGTGTCATCCTAAAACACAGCATGTGCTCAATCTAGTTCTAACACAAAACCATTAAAGATATGTGGCTTGAGTACCAATAATTCAGAATCATAGGTTTGGCTTGAGAAACATGAATTTGCATCTAAGCATATTTCAAATGGACTGAAATCCAGAAAGACATACCGATACTGTGCAGAAACTGAAAACTGGTGTTTCAATGGAATTTGTTTCCTTCGAGCTGCCAGACTTGGTCTTTTCCCAAAGGTGCTGGACTTGGGGAACCAAACTTCACCTGCCTTGAGATGAGAACCGCCTATGTAAACCAAGAAAGGAATAATAGTGAGCATGAAGCAAGAACTCATCAAAAAAACTATTATTTTCATATGTTAATAGCAACCCATCACATACCCCAAGATCAGTCAGTACGACAAAGAAACCAATGAATTCATTTTAGGATGTTAGGCATATGGTTGTTTTTTCCCATAGTTTATGGCACTTGAGTCCTAGAATCTTCTTCTTTTTGTCAATTTTGAACCAAAAACTATAAGAATTTGATATAAAGGAAAACCATCGGAACTCCAATCGAAAAGTACAAGAAAAAAGAAAAAAATTTCTATTCTTAAAATTTGCATTTCCAATCAAAATAACAAAGAATGTGACACAAGAAGTACATTGCTATCCTTACCGACAAGAAATACAATACGAGCATTTTCTTTCAAGCTTTAATCACTAGAACAAACTAAAAATAAACATGCTGAATCACGAAACAAATTTGAAGCACATCTACATAAAGTCTTTTTTTTATCCTTCATGTTCTTTCAAACCTTAATAACATAATGCCATAAACAAAATAAAATAAACACATTGAATCAAATATCAAACTTAAACCATATCTATTTCTAATCTTTCCTTTCCTTAAGTATTTACAATTTTTTTGTTGAACCTTTGGCATAGAAATTAGCAACGTCGAACTTCATCCGACGAACTCAACTTAATTAGTTACTTGCAAAAGGCTATGTTATTGTTACCTGAACTCATAAATTTTTCTAAAGCATCAGTGTCCAACACATTCAAACACGCGGAGCAGATTTGATTCTCCAAATACGGATAAAGAACCAATATCGATAACTAAACTATTTCTCCAGGCAGAAATCAGAATATTCAAATAAAATGATTAAAAAATAGACGGAAACAATCAATATATCAAATGATTAAGTTTACATGATAACTACACCCAGAAATTAAAATAAAAAGAGGTTGTTAAAATTGAAAAACCTGAGATGGAAACGGGAGCCAAACAATACGCCATGAGAGCTGTAGTTGAGAGAAAGCAAAGGGAAGTTAGCAAGATTTTTTTTTTTTTTTGGCAGTGAATGGATTATAAAGTCTCTTTGGTTTCTTATTTACGAATAAGCCCTTCCTCTACAGAAAGATTTTGTGAGGATTTTTCCAGAATAGATTACGTGGAAATATCTTAGCCACGTCAGCATTTTTAAATTATTTTTTTTATACTTAGATTAAGGGGTTGTTTGTTTGCCTCTTAATCGCGTTTGTTTCGCACCTCTGAATGATTCAATAAAACAGTACTGAATGATTCAGCACAGAAATACATTTTGAATCATTCAGAGCCAATTATCAAATAGCATGTCACATTCAGAGCCAAATCATTCAGAGTCTCTGAATCATTCAACATTTAATTCATCCAGCGCTTAATCATTCTAAAGTAAACAAACAACCTCTAAGTTTTACCTAGATTTTTTAAATTATTTCTATCTATTTTTTTATGTTTTTATTTTTTTTCTTAATTTTTTTCATTTTAATTTTAAATAAGATTCTCTATCCTTACGACACGTATTTTTTTTACTTTTATGACACATATTTTTTTTTGTTCTTGTAGCACAATCTTTATGACTTTTGATATGTTTTCTGTTGTTTTGATGCTCGCACAAAGACTCATGACATTTGTTTTTTAATTATCGGTGATAAAGTATAGTCAAATATCTTATTTGGTAAAAAAATATTTGTCGATATAATTATAATTGTGTAACAAAATAATGTACCAAATATAGGGCTATAAAAGAGTTGAGTTTGGTTCGAGTATTGCTGAGTCGATTCGACTCGAAAACTTTAAAATAGAATTTGATTCGGATTGAAAACTCGTGAGCCAAAAATTTTCAAGCTCGATTCGAACTCGAAACCATGAATTAAAGCTCAAAAAATCACGAAATGAAAAAAAATCAACTTAACTCGATTGAAGCCTCAAAATCAAACAAGAACATAAACCTTAAATACATGAAAATCTTATACTGTATTTTAGAAAAAATCAACACATAAATGTTAATATTATTAATATTTATTTTTTAAAAAAAAATAAAATCTTAATATATTACATTTTCAAATTGCTCGCAAGCTTTTCAAGTCGAGTATCAAGTAGTTCGTTTCGGCTCGTTAAGAATTCAAGTCGAGTCGAATATTTCTCAAACTTTGACTGAGTTTATCTTGAATAGATTACAAATTGGCTCGTCTCATTTACAACTCTAACTAGATAATTTGATTTATTTACCATTGTTTTATCACTTTGTAAAATGTCTCAAATTAAAGAACTGATTAAATCGTTTACAAAATTCAATTCTATTTAGAACATCAAAATACTACACAATACACACTGACCCTATTTTTCTTATAAAAGTAAGGGTAAACTACGAACTTAATATCTAAACTAACAATTTTAATTCGTTTTAATACTTAAACTTTTAATTTTTTAAAAAAATCTTACCTAAAATTTAATTTTTATTTTATTTTAATACCTTGTTGTTAAAAACTTAATACATTTAGTATCTAAATTATCAATTTTGATCCGTTTTAATATATAAACTATCTGATTTGATCTGTTTTAGTACCTAACTTTTAATATTTTTAAAACTTAATATTAAATTTTGAACGGGGCATTAAAATGATAAAAAACTAAAGTTTTAATGGTGCAGTTTTAAAACGAAACCAAAATTAAATTTTAGGTATGGTTTTGAAAAAAAATTGAAAGTTTATGTACTATGAACCAAAACTGGTGATTTAGGTACTAAACATGTAATATACCTTAAAAGCAAATTGAGTTGAGCCGTTATCATGCCATGGTGCAAAGGGGGCGAAAGGGTAGGCAGTCTTCAACACTAATGAGGAAATTCAGTGAGCAAAGAGGAACAGAAAACATCTAGGAAAAAGAAAACCAACTGATCAAAGCATTGGTTTGCAAAGAGGAACAGAAAACATCTAGGGAAAGAAAGGGAAAGGGAGAGGCAGAGGGAGAGGGGGGTAGATACATCCTCCTCCTCTTGCTTTTGGTTACCTTATTATCATTGTTTTGAAAATCGGATCGGACCAGCCGGTTCAACCGGAAACCGTTACCTAGTTCGGTTCAATCTAAATTGGTTGAATCGCTATTAGTGAACCAGCCAGAATCGTTGAACCGTTCGAACCGGACCGGCTGAAAACCGGAAAAAACCGGAAATTTTGTTTGTTTTTTTAAAAAATTAAACCAAACGTCGTTTGTTAAACGAGCCAAGTCGAACTCGAGTATTGCTGAGCTCGACTCGAACTTGAAAACTTTAAAAGTAAGCTCAACTCCACTCAAACTCACAAGTTAAAAATTATCAAGTTCAACTCGAACTCAAAATATAATATTGAAATTTGAACTCAAAAAGGCTTGAACTAAAAAAAAATTTAGAAGCTCAATTGAAACCTAAAATTCAAGCTTAATTGAAGTGAAAGAATAGTTCACTTAATGCTCACCAAAGGCTCCATGATTTTGAATGCCAAATTATCTCTATTATTTATAGAAGTTAGTTGTGATGCTCTTCTATATTTCTTAGCAATGTGGGATTATTTTGTTCTCATATTTTTACTCTTTAGACTTTTGGGATGCTCTTCTATGTTTCTTAGCCATGTGGGATTGTTTTTTTTTTAAAAAATTAAACCAAAGAATATCATTTTGTTATAATTTTTTTATCCCTAAATTTATTTTTTTAATTATAGTTATATAATTATATTTATTATTTAATATGTTTTACCTTAAATGTTATGTTGTAGTTAATTTGAATCATTTTGTTTCACTTGATTTTATGGTTTTTAATTTATATATGTTATGACTTGCTTTGAATATAACTTGTGATATAAAAAATTATTTTTTATTAAATATTTTTGGTATTTTTATTTAATTTTTTAAATAATTATGACATCGTCAGGTTCTTCCGACCGGTCGGACCGGTTCGACCGATTGAACCAGTGAACTGGTAGAATGGCCGGTTCGCTAACCGGTCCGGTTCTGAAAACCATGCTTATTAGGTTGTTTGTTCTGGTAAAGGCATGACGTCTCGGGCCCCAAAGCAAGTTCAAGATTAGGAGAGACGTCATGAACTCGGTGTTCCCATGTGTTGGGAAATAAACCAAGTACAAGTAATTTCCCTATAATAAGATTAGTGAGAATGCAAAATAAAAGCGGAAAAATAATACCCGAAATTGATAACGGAGTTCAGCTAATTGTGCTTACGTCTCCGGACTGCTGCAGATCTTTTACTAAGAGATAAATTTTACAGGTGTTTACAAAACACTCACTACTCACAAGAAAACTCTCTAGTATTGGGAGAAAGAAATGATTTTTGGGATGATTTTGAAGCTAAATGATCTAGGGTATTTATAGTTGAAACTTAAGGACTTAATCTTGTAAATACCCTAAAACCTAGGGATTAATTGTGATTATCCCATTATCATTTTTCAACAAACATCTATCAAACTTTGAAAAACTATTTTTCAAAGAAACATTTACCAAACTTTGAAAACCATTTTCAAAGAAACATTTACCAAACTTTGAAAACCATTTTTTCAAAGTTGGTTACCAAACTTGAAAACTATTTTAATACTTTCAACAATCTCCCACTTTAAGACTGATTTTAATCTGTCTTCACACCTCGATCAATGCAACAGCTTTTATAGTCTTGTTACTCTAGCATGCCAACTGAAGTTGAACACAACTTCAGTTTGTCTGTAGTCACCGTCTTTGTCAACATATCTGCTGGATTTTGAGCTCCACTAATCTTTTCAAGTTTCAAAATCTTATCTTCCAGAAGAGACCGGATAAAATGATATCGCAATTGTATGTGCTTTGTCCTGGAATGAAAAGACGGATTCTTTACTAGATGTATAGCACTTTGACTGTCGCAATACAATACATTGTTTTCTTGTTTCTTGCCTAACTCTTCCAAGAAACTTTGGAGCCAAACCATCTCTTTGCTAGCTTCCGTAACAGCGACATATTCTGCTTCAGTTGTGGAGAGAGCAACTATCTTCTGTAGTTGAGAAACCCAACTCACTGCGGTTCCTCCTAGAGTATAGACATACCCTGTAGTGCTCCTTCTGATGTCAACATTTCCAGCTAAGTCAACATCTATATAGCCTGTCAGTATCATATCTCCACCTTTGAAACAAAGTGCTTTGTTTGTGGTACCCCGCAGATATCTGAGGATCCATTTGACTGCTTCCCAGTGTACCTTGCCCGGATTATTCATGTACCTGCTAACAGCTCCCACTGCTTGAGCAATATCTGGTCTGGTACAAACCATGGCATGCATCAGACTTCCAATCACTGAGGCGTACGACACCTTCACCATGTATGCACGTTCTTCCTCCGTCTTTGGTGATTGTTCTTTGGAGAGTCTGAAATGAACACCTAAAGGTTTACTTACTGGTTTAGCATCTTGCATGTTGAACCTAGAGATTACTTTGTTGATGTACTCAGCCTGTGATAATATCAAAGTCCCTGACTTTGTGTCTCTCTTGATCCTCATCCCAAGAATCTGCTTTGCAGCGCCCAGATCCTTCATAGCAAACTGCTTTGACAATTTTTGCTTCAAGTTTATAATCTCTTGCATGTCTGAGCCTGCAACGAGCATGTCATCAACGTACAACAATAAAATAATGAAGCTATTGTCGAACCTCTTGATGTAGCAACAATGATCTGCTTGGCATCTGGTAAAATCACTGCTACTCATGAAACTATCGAACTTCTTGTACCACTGTCTAGGAGCTTGTTTTAAACCATACAAGCTCTTCTTCAACCTGCATACCAGGTTTTTCTTGTATGCCTCTATGAAGCCTTCTGGCTGCCTCATATAGATTTCTTCCTCCAAATCACCATGAAGGAAAGCTGTCTTTACATCTAACTGCTCAAGATGTAAATTCTCTGTAGCTACAATTTTCAACACCAGTCTGATTGTAGACAGTTTCACGACTAGAGAGAAAATTTCATTGTAGTCAATACCTTCTTTTTGCTGAAAACCTTTGACAACCAATCTCGCTTTGTAGCGTTTGCTCCCATCATGCTCTTCTTTGATCCTGTAAATCCACTTGTTGTGAAGCGTTTTCTTGCCTGGTGGTAATTCAACTAATTCTCACGTCTGATTTGACAAAAGCGAGTCCATTTCATCTTTCATGGAAGACTCCCACTTGACTGAATCCTCCACTTGCATTGCTTCATCATAGCACTCTGGTTCACCATTGTCAGTCAGCAACAAGTAGTGCAAAGAAGGAGAATACCGTTGGGTTGGTTTAGGAATTCTGGAGGAGCGTCTTAGTTCCAGTGTGCCTGGTTCTTCTTGAACTGCTTCAGGACTGATCTGAACATCATTTCCAGAAATCTCCTCAAACTTAGCAAATTCCTTTGTTTCAGCTTTGGTATTGGAGCTGCTTGATTCTACAGTTGACCTGTCTTTGTACATCACATTCTCATTGAAAATGACATCTCTGCTTCTAATGATCTTCCAATTTTCATAGTCCCAAAATCGGTAATCGAACTCATCACCGCCGTAACCAACAAAGGCACATTTGTTGGACTTAGCATCAAGTTTACTTCTTTCAGCAGAGTCTATGTGTACATAAGAAATACAACCAAACACTCTTAAGTGTGAAAGGTTTATTTCTTTCTTGCTTCAAACTTCCTCTGGTATTTTGCCATCCAAAGGAACTGAGGGCCCACGGTTGATCAGGTAAGCTACAGTGTTAATAGCTTCAGCCCATAGAAATTTGGGCAATCCGGCATGTATCCTCATGCTTCTGGCACGTTCATTCAGAGTTTTGTTCATGCGCTCTGCTACGCCATTCTGCTGCGGTGTCATGGGAACTGTTGTCTCCATCTTGATCCCATTGTTTGTGCAAAAATCTCTGAATCTCCTATTTCTATACTCTCCTCCATTGTCAGACCTCAACCGCTTGACTTTCATACCATTCTCATTTTCCACCATGGACTTCCATTTTCTGAAGGTATCAAAGACTTCTGATTTTTTTCTTCAGAAAATAAACCCACACCTTCCTTGTAGAATCATCGATGAAGGTGACATAATATAGTGAGCCTGCAAGAGATGGAACTGGGGATGGTCCCCATACATCAGTATGAACCAATTCTAACCTTTCTGCCTTGGGTGTCTTGCCAATCTTTGCAAAACTGACTTTCTTTTGTTTACCAAACATGCAATCCTCGCATAGTCCGACATCTACATTCTTTAGATCCGACAGCTTCCCTTTTGACAGAAGTATCTTCATTCCTTTCTCGCTCATATGGCCAAGCCTTTGGTGCCATAGGTTTGATTTTCCATCAACATCTGCTACTGCAATGATATTCTCTAAATTTGAGGTTACATAGAGAGTACCAGTCTTCTTACCACGAGCAATGACGAGTGCTCCTTTGGTAATCTTCCATTCACAGCCTGAAAAGGTTGTATTGTATCCTTCTCCATCAAGCTGTCCTACATAAATCAAATTTCTTTTGAGACCAGGAATATGTCTCACTCCTGTCAGCTTCCAGGTGGTCTGGTTTGACAGCTTTAGTCGGATGTCTCCTTTTCCGACGATCTTCAAGGTTTCATCATCAGCAAGATGAACCTTCCCAAAATCACCACTGACATAGTTCTCCATGATTTCTTGGCATGGTGTGGAGTGGAAAGATGCCCCTGAATCCAAAATCCATGATTCAATCGGACTGTTGACGCTTAAAATCATAGCATCACCTGTCTCCTCCGTCATGTTGGCAGATTCCTGTGCACCGGTATTTTTCTTCGGTGCTCGGCAATCGCTTTTGAAGTGGCCCTTCTTGCCGCAATTATAACAGGTAAAATCTTTATTTCCTATTCTTGATTTTCTCCTTCTGGATTTCGATCTGCCACGATTTAAATTTCTTTATGAAGTTCTCCCTCTGGACTCCGTGTGCAAGGCTGAGGAGGTTGATGCTTCACCCGATTCTCTCCGTCGAATTTCTTCGCTCAGTATCAGATCCCGAACATCGTCGAATTTTAATTTGCTGTTTCCCGACGAACTGCTGACTGCTGTAACAGTAGCATTCTAACTGTCTGGTAAAGATGATAAGAGAATTAAAGCTCGAACTTCATCATCAAATTCAATTTCCATTTAACTCAACTGGGTTGTGATTGTGTTGAGTTCATTTAGGTGTTGTGCCACCGATGCCCCTTCCGTCATCCGCAAATTGAATAATCGCCTCATCAAATGAACTTTGTTTGAGGCCGATGGCTTCTCATACATACTGGAGAGAGTCATCATAAGACCCGCCGTGGTCTTTTCCTTTGCTATGTTGAAAGCAACATTGCGGGATAACGTCAGTCGGATAACTCCGAGGGCTTGTTTGTCGAGAAGAGCCCAGTCTTCATTCTTCATGCCCTCTGGTTGTTTTCCTGAGAGGGATTGATATAGATTTTTCTGGTATAGAAAATCTTCAATTTGTATCTTCCAAAATCCAAAGTCCGCACCATCGAACTTTTCAATTTTCACATTCCCTTCGTCTGCAGCCATCGCTCCCACTCGAATCTAGCTTCGTTTGGATCGTTTCTGACAATTTTTGCGAATCGCCGTGTATTAGAACACCTCCGTCGACAAACTCGTATCGTCGACCGAATTTCACTATTCACGAAATTTACTATTCATGTGAATAGTAACTCGAATAGTAACCTCTCAAAAATTGACAAAATTCACAACCCAAAAGCTCTGATACCAGTTGTTGGGAAATAAAACAAGTACAAGTAATTTCCCTATAACAAGATTAGTGAGAATGCAAAATAAAAGCGGAAAAATAATACCCGAAATTGATAAACGGAGTTCAGCCAATTGTGCTTACGTCTCCGGACTGCTGCAGATCTTTTACTAAGAGAGAAAATTTACAGGTGTTTACAAAACACTCACTACTCACAAGAAAACTCTCTAGTATTGGGAGAAAGAAATGATTTTTAGGATGGTTTTGAAGCTAAATGAGCTAGGGTATTTATAGTTGAAACTTAAGGACTTAATCTTGTAAATACTCTAAAACCTAGGGATTAATTGCGATTATCCCATTATCATTTTTCAACAAACATCTATCAAACTTTGAAAAACTATTTTTCAAAGAAATATTTACCAAACTTTGAAAACCATTTTCAAAGAAACATTTACCAAACTTTGAAAACTATTTTTTCAAAGTTGGTTACCAAACTTGAAAATCATTTTAATACTTTCAACACCATGCACGACGTGAATCCATGGGCAAGAAGAAACTTTCACTGTTTCCCATATCTTCGGGGATTATCTTTTCTTGACAGGAAAAGTCACATCTCTTCTCTTCGACTGAAGAGACAGGACCTGGATCGTGTCTATTTGATGCTAAACTATCACTAAGAGGAACTTGATCTCTAGCTCTGCTATATTGGTACATTTCGCTAAAACCCATCTTCAGCTTTTTATTATCATTCCCTCTATCTACAAGAACTCTTGCCGCCTCGCTCCATGGCATTTTTTTGACTTGTAACGGTAGAAACTTCATAAACTGGTTCTGTACGGGCGTTTCCGATGATTCAATTGCCAACACCCAAGATCTATTATTTGATGAAGTATTCCCATCAGCATACTTTGAATCAATAATTTTGACAGGGATCCTAATTTTAACAGAATCCCTGTCAAGCTTCTCCTCAACAACTACAACTTGTTCTCCAGTAGGTCAATCTTTTAGAGATGGGTGATAATGCCAACAGTCGAAGTCTGTATTTGAAGAAGTCTTCAGATCAGCACACCGGAGTTGTCCGTCCAACTCAGTTGGTAGAACGCAATATTCTTAACCTTGTGGTCGTGGAATCGAATCCACAATGAATAATTCATAATAGTCGGAGGTCTTCCACGGATGTTGCTCTAACCTAGCATTGAAAGCAGCCTACTACCCTACCTCCTCTTTATCCCATTACATATGGGGATAGCGTCAGCTAGTTTTCAGATCAGCACACCCATTATCCTTTGAATCCTTGATTTTAACACAATCCCCATCAACCTTCTACTCAACAACTGCCTTTGGTTTTCCAGGAAGGTGATCTTTTAGAGATGGATAACCTTCTGCCATATGCATTTCCTCCTCAACTTTGAAAGAACCAGTATTTGTTTCGGTAGCTTGAAGGCAAGGTCTAAGATCGGGGTCGGATCTACAATCTGGAAATTTGCTCTCTTCCTGTAAAATAATGGCAAAAGTGTCAAATAAATAAATAAAATTCGTTTCAGTCTATCCAGAAAGAGAATATGTTCAGCATAATAAGATAAAAACTCAACACAAATCCATAGATAAACAGAAGAAATCTTAGAAATAACAACACTTCTTTCAACCTTGAAACTGAATGGAATCAGAGAAAAACTTGAAATTTATAAACCTTTTGAAGCACCTCACATTCATTGACAAGCAAAAAAATATAGAATTAGATCCTTTCTTGAACAAGATTATATTGATTTCCTGTTGATTTGATCATGTCACTTAATAACATTCTAGATCTCCTTGTAGGTTTTAACTTAAGGTTAGCAAACAATGGCGAGAACTGAAAAACCAAACCAACTATAGAAAAATCAACTTGACGGTAATTTAAGTAAACATATTGAAAGAAGAACACATTACCAGAGTACTGGTGCATTTCATTTTCGGATGTACCTCTGTGCCGCTTGTTTCAATTCTAGACAAGAATTTGGGGTCAACTTTGCCCTATTGCTCCTCCAATTTTGCTTTTATAGCACCATATGTCTGCTCAAAAGAAGAAACCTTATTATCACTGGCACTATCTGCACAGATACATGTCTTTTCAACAGCAGTGGTCACATTGCACGAACTGTCACAAGTGGCTGATCCGTTATACACCGGCTGTGGACTACCAGTATATATTTGTCTCTCCAAAGGTAACATACTTGCATCAGGATTCCACACACTCTTTGAGGAATTTGAACAGCTAGCCTTCCTTCCTTAGAAAACACCCCAGAGGAACAATAAGTTATTCCACCCTGCAAACCAAAAATCAGAAAGTTTTAGCATGATTTTTTTCCCATCTAATGAAGAGAATAAAACATATGGAACATACGAAACAGGTAATCATACAAATTCAAAAGAAACAAAAACTAATCTGAAAACAAAGGCTTTGCTTGGTAGGATGTAAAGAATATCAAAATAACTTTCTTTACACCCATTGGTTAGCATCGTTGAAAAATGAGAGTAAATAAAATAAAAATACCATTAAAAAAATTTTGAAAATAAAAGTATGATCTTGTAAATATACACACTTGACTTGGACAACTCTGATTTTCTTTCCTACTTCGAGTGGTTTCTGTTAATAAGCTTTCCTATTTTCTTTCCTACCAAGCACACCCCAAAAACATTTTCTTTCCACTTTTCCACCCACCTCTATCCATCCTCTTACTTTCTACTAAACTAAGCACACCCTAAGGGACGAAACATAATCGATCTAAAAGAGTTCACAGTTGTAAAGGGTATATGAAAAATAGTTGTCCAATCCTGTCAAGTACACTTTAAAGAATGATAGAATGTTCTGTGCAGATAGGTGGGGAGCCATCAATTTCAGGTTTAAGAATCGCCTATATAGTCACATTAAATAGGTGGAATGGAAGAAAAAGGATGCATATAATATTTCCTCGTTAATTTGGGATTAAATAGCTGCAATTTAGTTGGATTATATGTTTTACCCAAGATTCACTACAAGGAAAGGATAAAGGATATGTATGTCCTTGATAACAAACTAAGAATAATCTAACAAAGATATTTTCCCTTCATAGCTTACAAAGGTGCAACATCACCTTATTTATAACAACCTACATACATAATAATTCTGGAGCCATCTCTAATATTCTACAGCTCATCATGATAACTCATCATTTAGTGCTAACAATAACCATGTAGCTGACTCATGCAATGCAGGTAACTCACGTCATGCCTACAACATTCTTCCTACTCTTATGTAGGTTTTTGATAGCTACAACATCCTCCCGACTTCTCCATGGCTTCTTCATTAACAATTTGAACCTTGTCAAGAAATAGAGTAAAAGCAGATTTTGACAATGGTTTTGTCAAACCATCGGCAAGTTGATTAGATGCCGGAACGTAATTCACACTTAGTTCTTTATTTGTTACTTTTCCTCGCACAAAACACATATCTAGTTCCATATGCTTTGACTTAGCATGGAAAACAAGGTTGGCACTCTTCGCCACCGCAATGCTGTTATCGCTCCATATAACAGGAGTTTCAACTTGCTTCTTGCCCATGTCTCGTAGTAGTGTTCGAATCCAAACAACCTCAGCAACGGTGACCGCAATACTTCGATATTCTGCTTCTGTGGTAGAACGAGCCACAATTTTTTGTTTCTTCGAGCTCCATGAAACTAGATTATTACCGAGGAACACACACTGACTTGATATTGATCATCTAGATTACTTGCCCAATCAGCATAAGCAAAGGCAACAAGATTAGTTGTCGAACTATTAGCATAAAATACAAGACCATAGTGTATTGTACCTGCCAAATACCGGAGTATTCTTTTGATAGCTATCCAATGTTGGGTTATGCATGTACTGAGCTACACGATGTACATTGAATGTAACGTCTGGTCGAGTGTGACTGAGGTACATTAAGACACCAACAATGCTCCAAAATTGTTGTCCATTACTAAGAGGTTTCCCTGCATCTTTCTTAAGTTGGGGTGACAAAATCATAGGAGTAGGAACAACCTTAGCTCCTATCATTTTCAATCGTTCAAGAAACTCCTTAATAAACTTTTGTTGTTTTAAAACAAGTCTATCACTATACCTTGCAACTTCAATACCCAAGAAATAACTTAGTAAGTCAAGATCCTTAAGTGAGAACTTCTCACCTAGAAGCTGGACAACCGTTTAAATAACTTTAGATGAATCCCAGCGATGACAATGTCATCAACGTAAACAAGCATGAACACACGACTTCTATCCATGCAACGGACAAACAACGAGGCATCAGCAGCTGACACCTGAAAGTGTAGGTCAAGAAGAAACTGTCGCAACGTACCATACCACATTCGAGGAGCTTGCTTTATATCATATAAGGTCTTCTGCAAATGACAAACCAACTCTTCTCCAGTAGCACCCTGCTGTTCAAAGCCAGGTGGTTGAGTCCTAAACATCTCTTCACCAAGGTCACCATTTAAAAAGGCGTTGTTTATGTCCACATGTCGCAGAGGCTATCCATGAGTAGTGGCAACAGAAAGAACAACATTGATTGTAGAAGTTTTGATCACTGGACTAAAAGTGTTATCAAAATCACAACCAGGGTATATTTTAAACTTAGGTATCTTCGTCAATGGAAGATCAAGCAACGGACCCTAATAGTCCGCGCCATGGTTCAGAGAGAAACGAACCAGTCTGGTCGAGGTGGACGCCGAAACCGGAACAAATCCTCATACTCGAGCCCATCTTCAAAAGTGGCATGGTGAACCCCCAAAGGACGAAACCGTGAGAATAAGAAAGCTGCTCGAGAAATTCGGTGTTGTTGGTGATGCTAATGTCTTCTACTGGTTCCAAAACCGACGTTCGAGGTCTCGTCGCCGCCAACGACAGCTGCAAGCCGCTGGCGCTAACATTGTCGTAGAACAAAGAAGTAACCAACCACAACTATTTGATGTCGGCGTTGTCGGCGGCGGTGCAATTCAGTATGAACATAGTGATGTCTCCAACTTTGCCTCTTTCCCACCTTCTTTCCTCGTTGGTTCATCTTCTTCCAATGGTGTTATGAGTGATGATGGCATGGAAAATCTTCTCTCAAGGTCACCTCAAATGGGGTTTCAAGAGCAAAGCTCGAGTGATATTACATCGGTTTTGTGCCCGTCGGAGATTTCGAATTTGCAGAATCAATCTGGTAATTGCATGGCAAACTATAAAGTCATCGGCCCGATATAATATATATGCACAGCGATGTAATATATATACATGGACAGAAGTAAAATTTTATATTTTAGCACCCGTCGGTCCTTCTCTAACTATATGCAACATTTACTGCAACTTTAACTTTCTTGTGAATTAACAACGGTATTTAGTGGCACTATACCCCAAAAATATGCTGCATGTCGTTGTGATTATTATTTTGAGGGGAAATTGATGATTGAAGTAAACCCTAAAGTTTACTTTTTCGAGTTTTAGGGTTCATCACAGTGTTCATCAATGGAGTTCCGACCGAAGTTCCGAAGGGGCCACTGGACGTCAAGGCCATGTTTGGACAAGATGTAGTGTTGGTCCACTCCTCTGGTGTGCCTCTCCCCATGAATGAGTTTGGGTTTTTGCTTGACAGCTTGGTTCCTGGTGAAACCTATTTCCTTGTAAGTTGATTTATATGGTATCAAAAAAAAATTGATAAAAATTAAAAAAAAATTAAATTACATAAAAAATTAAAATTTTTAGAGTATCAACTATCTTCAATCTCCTCTCGATCCATCTCTCAATACATGATTTCCCTATTAAAGGAAAGGGTATTTTACACGTTTAGTATATAAATTATCAATTTTGATCCGTTTTAGTGCATAAACTTTTAATTTTTTTAAAATCATACAAAAAGTTTAGTTTTTATTTTATTTTAGTATCCCGTTCAAAATTTAACATTACGTTTCGGAAAAAAATTAAAAATTTAAGTGCTAAAATAGACCAAAACTGATAATTTATGTATTATATACTCAGTTTATCCTAAATGAAAATAATGGTGTCATAAATATTTTTAGATTTATCATTATTTTTTATTATATCTTAATCGATCGAGGTGTTTGAATAGGGCTAACAATATTATGAAAGAGAGCTTATACCAGTAAACCAAATTCCACAATCAATGATCATATATGTTAGACTATAATATGATGCCTATGGTGTTCTGACTCTATTTATGTTTTGGAATATGTTTTTGTTTGATATATTTTCAAACATATGATAAGAATTTGACCTTTAGAAAAATTTTAGCTATACGAAAAATTAAATATTCTTATGTTCAACATTCACACCCGAGCTCAAGTGGATTTCTATGTAGTTTCAAGCAGTAGTAGCTAGGGATGGATACGGTGGGTTGGATCAAATTTTTTGTCAATTCGACCCGACTCGAAAATATAAATCCTCCATTCAATGAATTTAGGGGTGACTTTACCCGATCCGAACTCGATCCGATTTTTTGAGATAAAATTCAAACTCGACCTGACCCAAAATAAATATATTTATAAAAAAATAATGATCTAATTGAAAAAAATAATATATAGAGGGTTATTATTGTAATTATTTGTAAATATATAATGGAAATTTATATTATTCTTTAGTTCACGTTGAGTCATATATTTTTTACCATAAACTTGAATCCAACCCGACCCGACCCAACTCGAACTCAAATTATTTTGAAAAATTCTAACCCGGCCGGGATCGGGATCGGGTCTCGTGCCCATCTTTGGTTGTAGCATGGGCAAGAAGAAGGTTTCGGGCAGCAATGCAAGGCCCAAGAGCTTTACTTCAAGTGGATCTCTCTCTTTGCTTCAAAAACTAGCCCATTCAATGTGCATTCAACATATACATGTATATACCCATATGTGTATATAGTTCAATTATGTAATTATGAACAAATAAAAGTAATATTCAGAATTCATTGAGCGGTCTCAATGTAAAAAAAGAATGTTATTTTCTTTAGAGGATATAGATTTGAGCAGCTGTGCTGTAAAGTGTGTGTGGTCAGTTGAAAATTGGGAGGAAATAAAATTAAACTTTGAAAAATATATGTTTTTGTACTAACTTATATTTTCTCTCCCTCTATTCTTTACAAATTTCAATGATTTGATTTTATATGTGAGGATGAAAAATGATCATCTCTTTCATTTTTCTTCCATGCCAAGCACCCTCAAAATTTATTTTCCTTCCATATTTTCACTCTCTCCTATCAATTTTCCATCCTACCAAACAAAACTTTAGTAATTTGCTTTGTACTTATATTTATATTTAATAAAAGAATACAAATATCATCATATCCGGAAATAATAAAGCATTGAATTCAAACCTTTTTAAGAAATGGGGCATAATGTCAAAATTAGCCTCCTAATGTTTATCAAAATGATTATTTTTTCTCTTATTCTATTTTTTGATGGCAAAAAGGCCCTTAACATTTCACAAAATAATTATTTTGTCCTTTATTATTATTTTCTATGGCATTTTAACCCTCAATATTTCATTTTAAATTAAAAAATGTTTTATTTTACATTTTTAATCATGTGTTAAGTAGTGTTTTTCATCTATAGAGAGAGTTTTTCCCCAAAGTCAAATGTTGGGAGTCAAAATGATAAAAAATGAATATGGGTCAAAATGATCATCTTGAAAAACGTTGGAGGCTAGTTTTAGTATTACTCCTAAAAGTACTATATGAAACATTCTCAAAATGGAACGAAGAGGAGGGATGATGGTAGATTTGTAGACCCCATTTGATGTAGCCGTGAAATGGTGTTGATGTTTCATCAGTTGCATCGTCTTGACTTTATTAACCACATTGCTCAACCTGATTGGTTAAAGAGAAAAGAAAAGAAAAGAAAAGAAAGTTGATGGAAATAAATGCTAGTTGGATGGTCAAAGGGAAATCAAATCAAAGACAAGCACTGTTATTAAATGTCATTCATGATGGCCAGGTTCAATTCATTCAATTTTGGTGTTGGATACGCAACTTTGAATCTTTTCTTTCATTCTTCAGTCATAAATAAGGGTAAACTGTACGAATGGGTTTTTTATTTTAGTTTGATCGATTTTGGTTAATAATTGAAAAATTAAAGTTGTATGGTATCTAACGTTATCTATATATTCGATTTTAGTCTTTACGTTATCAATTCGTTTGATTTTAGTCTCTCAATTGTTAACTCATGTTTGATTTTAGTCTCTCAACTATGTCATATATTCATTAAGGGTTAACGACATAGTAACTTAAATCGAATAGAGCAATAATATTAGAGATCATTTATCCTTAATTTTCAAATCGATGACTAAAATCGAATAGACTCTAAACAAAAGGGACTACATAGTTTACCCATAAAAAATTTGTTCATTCAATTTTCTTTCTATCTATTATATCTATTAGGTTATTATCATTTTTGTCAAGGGTGAGTATAGAAATTAAGAAATCTGAATAAATAATAAACATGAAGTGACGTTTAAACTTTAAGAAATTATAATATAATAATCAATTAAGTAATTTTAGTAATTAAAAAAAATATTATTCTTTTTTAAGGTATTGAGTTCGAGCAATTACGTTTAAAACATGTACATACTTTTTAAATAATAAAAAATTATGAACAATACTTTTTTGTATTTACCTTAAAACTATTCAAAAAAATCATAACCTAAGAAACATGAAGTCCCAAGCTTTAAGAAATCATAATATAAATTCATTTATTTATTATAAGATATTATTTATTTAAAATCTTTGTTGGCTATTGATAACACATTTACGTCTTACAAATGTAAATGTTCTAAGCTGAGATCTCTAGAGAAAATAACATTTCTTTTTTAATATTAAAATCAATTTAATGAGTTCTTATAAATTCACTTATAAATACAAGTTAATTGTACCAAATGTCCTACAATCACGAGTTAAACGTGATTCTTTCGTCATACTTACTTTTAGTTTGGGTGTTAAATGGAACTCATTAAATGGTATTAGTTGTTAAATGGAGTGTTGTTCACTCTAGAGATACTAGGTTCGAGCAGTTATGTCTTCAGGGTGTATATGCATTGTTAATGATTAATAAAGATTTTGGACATATATTATCTTGTAATCTTCAAGTAATATTTGAAAACAAAACAAAAACAAAAAAACCTTTGGTGTCAAATGTGTTGGACTCAGGCTCGTCCAATGACAAGTGTAGAATATTATTCGTCACAGAACCCAAAATTTATGGGCCCTACACATGGATGTCATTTAGGTTCGTCAATGTATAATATTTATGCATTAACGATATTTACATTTTAAGGGAAAATAAATTTTCCGTTTGATTATTGAGAAAATGACAGAGAAAATTATAAACAATGATTTTGACAAAATCTTCAGTTGTTTTTTTATGATGAATTCTGGTCAAAGAAATTCCATAGATCCCTCGTCATTTTAAATTTAACAAATTAATTTTTATTATAAAATATTTTATTGACTTCATTTTTAAAATTGAATAAGGCATCACATCATTTGAGACATGTTTGGTTATTTTTAGACGTGTGTAAATTATAATTGATATTTAATGTCAAAATTGAATATTAGAGTAGCGAAAATGTTGATTGAAATGATATTTTAATTTATAAAGTTAGAGTTGTGAGATTATAAAATTTTAGGAAATTTAAAATTAAATTATTAATAAAAATATTAACAAAATATAAAATAATTAAAACTTCTTCTTAACACTCTATGATCCATCCCTAGTTGACATCAACTTGTATATGATATCGAGACAACTTTACCCTCTTTGCCAAAAGAATATATATTTAAACAATTGATAATTGATTATAAAGGAGTAGAAGAACTCTCTCTTCTCTATTTTTTTCCTCAAAACTTTAGTTTTATATATTTCTCATAAACTATATTCTGATATATATGGAACGAAACTGTATATACAAAACTATAAGGATTATGAGACCAACTGCAGAAACCCAATATTTTTGCCCATTGGATCCAATTTTACCCCTCTCTTCCTCTTTAAGCTGGATTCTTTACTTTTAAGAAGCTCCTACTCCAAGGAAGTCAATGAAGCACATGTTGATCTTCAAATCTCCATCTGCAGTTTGGGAGTGGTTGGTCCTATTTGTGCCCACTGACTCAGTTACTGAAACTACTGAGTTAGAATCTGACGAGTTAGCATGTTGGTTCACTTTCGAACCTGCAAAACAAGAACGAATGTATAATTTTATGTTAAAATTTATGTTAAAAGATCAAATTCTAATATTTTCAGAAGTAACAATCGTCCCGTCAATCTCATCGGTCCATCCCTACCTGCAAATATACCAATATGGTGAATTGGAGTGCAAGTAGAGGCTGATGAAATGGTAGATTGGTTACTTGTGGCTAAAGAAGAAGGCTTCCTCCTCCTATAAATGCTTGATTGCTCCCTATGTTTCCTAGCCATGATCACATGCCAATGGTTCTTCACTGCATTATCAGTTCTACCAGGGAACAGCCTAGCAATCATTGCCCATCTGTTGCCAAACACTTTATGTGCAGTTAACAGCCTCTCTTCTTCTTCCTCACTGAATGCTCTCCTATTGATCCTTGGATCCAGCTGGTTAAACCATCTCAATCTACAACTTTTTCCTGCAAAAAAGAACACCCATTTAACCAAAAAGATAAAACATTTGCAAAATTGATGATTATGGTTACCAACATGGGAACTTTAACCTGATCTCCCTTCAAGATGTTCAGCTATCAAGTTCCAGTTTTGAGGACCATATTGAGCCACAAGATTTTTTAGCTTAGCATCTTCAGCCAGCCTCCAATGACCCCTACAACAAAGCTTGGTGTGCCCCTTTTTGGTACCGCCGCCGCCGGAGTTTTTATTATTACTTCCGTTTTCAACATTTAAACTCAAAGAAAGTCCACCAGCAGCAACAATTTGAGGCTCAAAGCTCAAAAATTTGTTGGTTTGTTCCATCGAAGAGGTTGGAATCTGAAACCCCATTGGAGAGTTATTAGTAGGAAGAGCAAAGATGTTCATCTCTTGTGGACTCGTTGTTCTCAAAAACCCAGAAAAGAAACCCAGATGATCAAAGAAATAAGAAGCAAAGTTATCTCTTTCAAGTCTCAGTCATTGGAAGATGAGTGTGTTTGGGAAGAGAGAAAGTGAAAAAAAAATGTGAATTTGTGAAAATCAAAGGGGGTGAAACAGAGGATTTAAAAGAAGAGGTGCTTGATTTGTTTTTCCCTGCCTTTTGTTTGCAAAATCTGTTAGTTTTTTTTTGGGATTAAAAAGGCAATGGAGACTGAGGTCAGCAAGGGGACGGAGGGATATTTATTTTAATAAATAAATATCTAACTTAAAAAATAAATTTAATATGATCTTTTTACTCATTATTCTCATAGTTAATTATTAAGTACTGATGTGATAGTTTAAAGTGATGACGTGATGATTTACGGTACTAATATAATAATTTATCTGTTATGTTTGAGTTATCAATTTAATTCATCAACATCGTAGATGATCAAATAATCATCATAAACTATCATATCAACACTGTACAATTAATGATAAAATCATTGATTAAAAAATACATAAAATTTATTTTCTGAGTTAAATCAGATTGAAAGAAGGAATAATATAATGTCCACAAATTAATAGTACATGAATCTCTATGCTTTTTTTGCTTTTATTTATTTATTTAAGAAATGGGAAAATTAATAAATAAAGCCTGGGGCTTTGCATGCAACCGGAGAACCGCTCGTGTGTGTGCGTTGGGGGAGTGTCTCTGTTTTTGTTTTGGTTTTGGTGCAGGGTTTTGTTTTGTTTATAGATTAAGATTAATTAAATATGATATTAAATATCATTACATGTTTGTTACTTTAGATTTGGTTCAAAAAACACTTGATTCTTCTAAATTTAAATTTAATTTAATCAAATAATAGAATATCGACAAATTGAATTCATCTAGTTTGAAATTTATTTGTAGGAACAAATTTATCTTGTCGATCGTCAACAATTCTCATATTTAGTTTGAGTGGAGAATCAATATCATGAGTTAACAACCATTAGCCTATGTTTCTATGTGAGAGAGATGAAATGAAGAAAGAAGAAGATAAACGATGTAAGTGAGAGAGTAGAAATAGAGAGAGAGTCTTTTTATCACGTACGTTCGATGAACTTTTATACTGACCTTTTGACAACTAATGTCATATATAGGATCATCATGCTTGTTAATAGTCCAAGATCATCGTGTCTTTTAGTAGATTACGGACTATACATATATGACTATTAATTATTAGATTCGACATTAATAAGTCATGTTAAAGACTAATGAGTATAAACTTTATAGAACAATCATGACGTAAGATGATTTTGAAGATAATATGATGTCATTGAAAATAATTTAAAAAATATTTTCAAAGAATATTGTTGAATATCCAAAATGATTTACATATAATATGATTTTATCAAGAAAAACTCTACATACACTCTCAAATTAATCTTCAATTTTTATCTTTTTATTAACAACTAGTGTCTAAATGAAGTTATAGATTTTAGGATAAAGTATACAAATGATCCTTTGACTATAGGGTATTGCTTTATTAAGTCTCTCGACTAATAAAAATTACAAAATGATCCTCTGATTGTAGTGTTGCTTCGTTGAGTATCTCAACTATTAAAAGTTTTTAAATAGTCACCTTTACCGTTAGAACATTAACGACATTTTAAGTTGAACGTTAACATGTTGATTGTGATATAATAAAATATGATCCTAAAATCTCAAATAACTATCATATTTTAGTCATCATGTTAATGTCCATCTCAGATGACCGTCAATTTTTTAACAGAAAATGATGAGTTGGGAACATAATGAGTAGTTGGGTGATCATTTTGTGACTTTTAATAGTTGAGGGACTCAACAAAATAACATTTTATAGTCAAAGGACCTTTTTATAACTTTTAATACTCAAGAGACTTAATAAAATATTATCCTATAGGCAACAACCATTTGTATATTTTACCCTAAATTTTATAAGTTTAAAAAATAATATATATATATATATATAATAACATCTCAACAATTTTTTAACATTACTTTGAACATTGGAGATTGTTAAGTGTTAAGCCGTCAAAGTTTAAGAAAATGACGTTGTGCCCAATAAGACATGAGGGGAGAGCTTCCCAGCACAGACATAGATTTTGTCCATTTCACCAATAATAAATTAAATTTTATTATTATTTAAAAAAATATCTATAAAATTTTATATTTATTTGTTAACAAAGATTGTATACTACGTGGTTTATTCAATCTATATTTATACAACAATGTTTCAAATATATTAATGTATACTAAGAAATAACGTATAATTTTATGTATAGGAATAAATTTTTAAAATTTTTAGAGAGGATGAACTAATAAAATTTTAGTGGTGAAAATAAATTTTTAATAGAAAATATATTAAAAATTAAAATATATGATAATTTTAAATTTTCATGGAGGCGACACATGTTTCTCTCGGTCCATCTCTATTACGTAGAATAGAATATCAGATTTAATAAATACTCGAGTGATCATTTTATAACTTTAAATAATTGAAGGACTCAATAAAGTAACTCTCTATAGTCGGGAGACAATTTTGTAATATTTAATAGTCAATAAACTCAATAAAAGAATCGGAATTGAAATGCATGCTTGTAAACCTAGAAAACATTTTAGGGAGAAAACAATTCACACTCATCATGCATGCATGAGAAACCTGTGTCACAAGAAAAATGCCTATGCAGGTTAGGTTGTAACGTATTTAGGGAGACTTTGTTTTTGGTGGTTTCAAAAGTAATAATAATGGGTTGGTTTTGCTTGTTTGACTGTGGGATCATTCATTTCTTTGGAGGGCTTTAGGGTAGTCAGCAAACCTAATAAATACCACTAATACCGAATATAATATTTTAATATCCTCAAATTTATTAAATAAACTTAACGATAAAAGAAAGTATTCTTCATTTTAACTGTCTCTTGTTTGAATAACTGCATTTGTAGGATGTACGTACGTTGTTAATAACTACAAAAGATTTTAGACAAATAAAATAAGTTTTCACTTACACTATGTAAAACTTATAAATTTTACACTAATTTATATTAATTATATTTAAATAAATAAATGTTAAAGATTTAGTATAAATGTTTCTTTAACTCACAATAACACAATATCTTTTTTTACCCCAATTTCAATCCCAAACCTAAACCCTAAATCTTAAAAATTCTAACCCTTAAGCTCTAACATTAACCCTAAAAGGAAAAATAATATTATTTTATTATTAGTTAAAAAATATTTATTTATGAGTTATAAATTGTAATTAAATCTAAATAATTTATTTATTTAAATCTAATGACTATAAATTAGTGCAAAACTTATTAGTTTTATATGGTGTAAATGAATCATAATCTATATATATATATTTATTTTATGATATATAGATTATGATTCATTTACACCATATAAAACTAATAAGTTTTGCACTAATTTATAGTCATTAGATTTAAATAAATAAATTATTTAGATTTAATTACAATTTATAACTCATAAATAAATATTTTTTAACTAATAATAAAATAATATTATTTTTCCTTTTAGGGTTAATGTCAGAGCTTGAGGGTTAGAAAATATATATATAGGGTTATGATCCACATATGTAAAACTTTTTAGTTTTACATAGATTTAGGACCGTTGGATGAGTGAAAATAGATTACTGAGATTAACTTCTTATTTTTTTCTAATAAATATCTTCACATTTCTTATTTTTAATCTTATTTATTTATTTTCACTTATGGAACGATTCTAATCTATATAAAACTATAAATAATTTTATATTATATAATATGATCCTATATATATATATATATATATAACAATTTGATAAAGAATATACGTATATTGCTTTAAGTGGGTTTTGCCACGTGCGTGAATTTTGTCCCTTTGTGGAAAGTGGAAACCGTGCAACGCATGTGTATGCTGACTGTTCACTTTGTAACGGAAGCCGAAAAGGAAAACCGTTTCTCGGGGCGCATCGCTTACCTTAAACCAGATTTTGGGCTCTGCGGCCACCGTCTCTTTGAATCCAAAAAGACCAAATACCCTTACACTTAAAAAAGAGTATAATGCTCTAGGGTAAAGTGCATAAATGGTTTATGGATTATAGGACGTGTTTTTCTTGACTACCCAATTATTAAAAGTTATAAAACGATCAATTGACTATAAGAAGTTATTTTGTTGAGTATTCTGACTATTAAAAGTTATAAAATTGTCATCAAATTATTCATATGTTTAAAACTTATCTTTTTCTGTTATAAAAATTAACGATGTTTGAGTTAGACGTTAACTTGCTGACTGCGACATGATAAAATATGGTTTCAAAATCTCAAATGACTATATAGATAAAATGGTTCTGGGATTAAATTTTATCATATCTTAATCAACAGGTTATCATACAATTTAAATGATTGTTATTTTTTTAATGGAAAAGGACGGGTTTAGAACATATGAATAGTCGGATGACCATTTTGTAATTTTTAATAGTTTAATGACTCAACAAAATAGTACATTATAGTTGGATGATCATTTCAGATCTTCGATGTGGATCGATCGTCTTCCTTATCGGTCTCTACTATAAATAAGATTGGTATCAAAATGTTTATATTTCACTCTTTTTTCCCTTCAAATTTATTTTTCACAAAATCCATTCAAAACCAAGGAAGATACATCTAACGATTTGATGTTTTTAATACCATGATCTCCTCCTCTGATCGTTTGATGAAAATCCCTTATATTCGAGAAAATCCTCAAGTTGAAAATATGGTAGATTTTTATACAAGTTTGTGAACTTTAAAGAGATTTTAGAAGAATTTTAAAAATTGATAGAGAATAATAAAACGTGTTCGATTTTATAATCGGACTAGTGGGCTTTGCAAAGAGATAATAAAGGTCGAGTTATGATTTGGCCCT